TTGAAGTTGCGTAAGTCCCGCCGCATGCATTTGGAGATCTGTCTGTTCAGATGCCTGTATGCTGTCAAGTCTGTTGAAGAATGTAGCTTCATCTCCCGTCTAACAGCCATGAGATTAAGAGTGTGATCGGAGAGTTTTTGTGTTCTTCTGCGGCGGGTCTTGTAGAACTTAGCTCCGACCGCATGGACAGTTTCCACGAGCTTGTCATTCATATCGTCCACTTCATTGCAGTCTTCTAGGCACTGAAACCGGTTTTGTAACTCGAGCTGAAAGGTTTCGGGACTTTGGAACAAAGCACGAGGGGGACGGAGAGTTGACTTCATTAGACGAGCCCTCTCCAACTTAACGATTAGGTTCAGTGTGCCTCTAACCATTCGGTGATCGCTACCAGTTTTCACCCTCGCGATCTCGGAGACATCATTGAACAGTTGTCGTCTGGTCGTCATAATGAAGTCAATCTCATTTTTTGTCGAACCGTCGGGGCTCGACCAGGTCCGCTTCCTGTGGGGCCGCTTCTGTAAGAAAGAGTTCATCATAAAGAGTCCCTCTTTCTCCATGAAGTCGGCCAGCTGCTGGCCCCTTAGGTTCCGTTGCCCTATTCCAAATTTCCCTACTTTCAGCTCACCATTCTCTCTTGTGCCTAGTTTTGCATTGAAGTCTCCCATTAACACCGTATATTGGGTTTTGGAGGAATGCATGCCTCTAGAGATATCCTCATACATTTCCTCGACCTCCTCATCGGGGTGTGCCGAGGTTGGTGCGTAAACCTGTATGACCTTCAGCGAATACCGTTTGGTGATTCTGAGTATAAGGTACGCAACCCTCGTCGACACACTCCCGATCTTTACAACGTTGTTAACGAGAGACTTGTGGACGATAAATCCGACACGTCCTTGGGACAGATGGCCGCCCTCCCGGTGATAGAGCAAGTTGCCGGATTCGAGGATTACCGTGTCCTCCCCCTCTCTTCGGACTTCGGATTATCCTATAATATGCCAGCGCAACTTGTCTATCTCTTCTTCCAGCTCCACGATCTTCTCGTCAGTCCTCAGGGTGCGTACGTTGTACGTTGGGGGCCCCTTGGGTTGCGTTGCCCTAATCCAAATTTACCTACCTTCAGCTCATCGTTCTCTCTTGTGCCTAGTTTTGCGTTGAAGTCTCCCATTAACACCGGATTTGGAGGAATGCATGGCTTTGGATATATCCTCATACAATTCCTTCACCTCCTCATCGGGATGTACCGAGGTTGGTGCGTAAACATGTATGATCTTCGAAGAAGATCGTACATGTTTAGCGAATATGGTTTGGTGATTCTGAGTATAAAGTACGCAACCCTCGTCGACACACTCTCAATTCTTTACAACTTGCCACCGTAGCCAGGAAAAGTGGGGCCGCAGGGGACTGGGGGCCCTCTCTTCGTAATTTTAATCATGGGGATATATTGCCATAGTTGCCACACTTGGCGAGCAGGTTGGCAACCGCAGTTGTTTTATTGTTGTTTTGCTGTTATCAGAAAGATGCTGCTGCTTATCTTCTGCCTTAGTGTTCCTCTGTCACCTCTTACGACACCCACATATATTCATATGGGGTAGTAGGTATTATTACCCGCAACTACACGTGTAGATACTCAGTGGTAACCTTTACTTAGTTGAAATCAATCTTGTCAGGCACGGGCGCAGGCGCAGAGTATCCAGCCTCTCGGTATTCTATAGGATGCATTTCGGAGAGTGTGCGCAGGAATTACTTGCTTAAATTCTTTCATCCCCTTTCCACCATCGGACCACCAGTTGGGCCTTCATACCTTTTTTTCGATATTCCACGCATTCGAACCAGTTTGCTTAATCTTTCGTAAGTATAGCATAGGAGTGGAATAATCTTCCTGTGTCTATCTTTTCGTTCGATTACAATCTGGGCGTCTTCAAGGAAGGAGTGAATAGGGGTTTGTTATGGTAGCTCTATGTACCATCTAGGTCTTCATCGTCACTTAAAACCAGGTGTGATTGTGGTCAAGTACTGGCTTTTAAATAAGTAAAATGGTTATTAGATAGAAATAAAATCGTTAGAAATAATATCCAAGCCGCCGCAGTAACCACCACCTATTATTTTTTTTTAAGTTTGCTACTGGGAAAAAATAAAGATAAAATGACACTTAAAAATAAGATAAAATGACTACGATAAAACAAAATAAAGGAAAAAATGTAAGTTTTAATATTATAACAAAATGAAATTGAAACTTGTAAATGCACATTAAATTTATATTTTCAGTCAAATGCGGTCCCAAGAAAGCTAATAAGCAATCAGTGTTTTGTTCATTGCAGGCTAACTGCCAAGGGTACGCTAGTTCATTAGGTCTTGCAAACTAAAGAGTTGCCTCGGACGCTCCCGCTGCGTCAGCAACGGTCCCTCGTTACCCTAATGACAGCGATTTCGTTCTACCAAAGGCGCAATTTTAGTTTCACAGAACAGTTTACTGTTAGCCCTCACTAATGGTCTATAAAGCTTTGGTCTGTTCGGCGTTTATTTTGTTGCCCATTTTTTCAACCTACGATGTAATTACGTGTTACTTTAATTTGACTTTGCCTGGAGAACTGGTTTATTTTGTATTTGATTGATTTCTTTTAAATAGCAATGACTGAGAGACAAAGAATTTTATATATCTTTCATAGTTTTGTAATTTGTAACTCCAGAAATGAACACGTCATTCCTTCTGTTTTATTATTTTATTCAATACGAGAAATTTAATGCTGTTTCTTCATTTCCCTACCCTAAAATTAGAAGAATGAGTATCGATATATGTACCTATTCGATAACTTAAATCTGTCTATCTAGCTATCTGATTTTGTGCCGCTATAAGAAATTCCTTCGTGCAACTATATTTTATGCATGATGTAAAAGTAGACACAATATCTGAAAAATCTATACAGAGGAAAGGTTGTTGCAAGGTGCGGATGTCCAATATTGGGAATGGCAATCCCACTAGCAAACATATTATAAAATGGTGAGGCAATTACGCGAAAACATTATTTATTGTGGAAAAATTTATTAACCATTGTTCAGCCGACACTGATAGAAGTATATCATTATAACATTATGGAAATATATTTATATGAATATTATAATAGTATTTGAGACGGACTTATTAGTTTTCGATTATTTAATTGAATACACGTACGAACATTTACATATATGTAGTATGTTTGATTACCGAATGTTGATTTAACCTTAACTTTGCAGATGTTTCCTAGAACGTAAAGTTTACGATTCAATTTAAATACTATCGGTTTGTTTTTACAAAATTTGGATTGTTGATAGTCTCGCGTTTAAATAATAGTCTTTTGTCACGAAAGATGTCCCTTAACCGTGCTGCTATCTTCGCGAAATTTGACATTTGCTGTCAAATTCTATACTGTAATTGAAACAGACTCTTATTTAAACTTGAGACTACTAAATAAAAACTACTTTTTGTAATAAGACGATATGTATATGAATAACGTGTTATTCGTATTACTTGGTTTTTATTAATTACTATAGAAAAAGTGTATTTGCTTTATCTTTATTAGGAATTCCCTTTCTTTCGGTTTACCGCAAAAAACCTGCTATTTCCTGACTATGATTTATCTTGCGGTATGCGGTCTGAGGGTCACTTTAATAAATATATTCGGGAGAACCGCTCCATAAAATGGATGAAAACGTTAAAGAAATGCAATCATGTTATATATAGCGTACATTTACGGCTGCTTTAATACGGTTTTGGATAGTGTGTTAGGATATTATTTATAAAATGTAATAAGGTTTTTAAAAAGAATCTGTTTAAAAAAATATTTTAACTTAATATGTGCATAAAAAGGAGTGATATTAAAAAGAAATCTATTTTTTATAAGGTTATATTCAACGTTCGGGTTCTGTTTGAAATGTAAAACCAGTAGGATTGTTTATTTAGCAGAAATCATAAAACGTATTTCCGTTGAAATATTATCTTTGTTGGCGTTATAACGCACTAGATATAGTTACATTAATGTAACTGCCGAGTTATAGAAGGTTATCATACTCGTAGTTAAGAAAGCGGGAAGGACAAGAAAAGTTCACATAAGCTAAATTAAGGAGCGCCCTTCGATAGGCTTTCGAGGAAGCAATTCATGTAAATGTCTTAAAAGATAGCGTACAAAATAATTGTTAGATCTATATTTAGAATCATAATTTTGAAATGCATCTGAAAAATACATCAGCCACTTGCCTTGTATATTTTTTTACGATTTTGAATGTCTTTAAATTAGAAATTTTAGAAATTAAGTAGATGCTTACAAAACTAAGATGATATTTTAGGTACTTTAATATGAAAAACTTGTCTTAATATTTTCCTCATGCCTGAACGCAAATTGGAACGCAACAACCGATAAATACGAATATAACGTACATTTACAAATACTTGCGTTGTCAAAATAATGTATAAGGGAGCACCGAGTATGACATACATAAATAGTGGCGGTGTGGAAGTCAGTTGACTATATAAAAATGAGGTTGTGAAGGATGTAAGCTTGAACGGTAGAGCGCCGGCGCTATGCCACTCGCCCTCGCTTCACGCAGTCCTCCGGCAGACCAGTCGGCGCCTTCATTGTACCCGCTCGCTAGCGTCGGCCTTCAACCAATACGAACGAAACACAATTGCCGATAATTTGGTACCGTGCGATATCCGAGTAATCTCCACGTGCTCAAACGAATCTCAGTAGTAATTAATTTTCAAGTTGAAAATTTAATATATTTATTTCAACTAACGAATATTAGGTCAAATATGTGTCACAGAAGAACAATTAAAACTGGACTAACTTAAAAGTGTTTGTGTTAGTGTTAAAATTAATATGTTACTATGTGCGATTTGTGTATATAAGAAAATGAAGATGATGTCGCAGTGATTAAAAGTGATTTGTTACAAATATTTCAAGCACAGTGCAATAATTTACATTTTAAGACAGTGTAAATTGATATTCGTTGTGGCACTAGATATGGGTTTATCTTGGAAAAAGTGTTCGCTTTTAATGATTGTTATATCTTGGCATGTGACTGAATTGGCATCTTGCTGTCCCGAAATATGTGCATGTAATAATAACTTAATGCCATGCCAGAAATGTTCCTATAACATAACTTTAAAAGAAAATGCTAACGTTTATCAGGTGCTAATGTGCTGTACTGAAGAGGAAGAGGCAATAAGAAGGACGAGTGATGTCATAAATAAGACATACTTGGAAACTACAGCTAATTTTGGAAAAAACTGTAATAAGAGTAATATTGTTATCAATCTTCCTATTTTGGATACACATTTAATTTCATTGCGAAACAATAATATCATTAGGCTTCAAATTAATATAATGCCATATAACTTGCGAGAAATTGATTTATCTTTGAATAAGATACGGTTTGTCACTAAAGGAGACTTAAACAAGTATTTGAATTTACGACGATTGATTCTTAGTAATAATTGTATTTCAAGCATTTTCCAAAATAGTTTTACAGGTTTAACAAAATTAGAATATCTAGATTTATCGCACAATAATCTTTCTACTTTGACAAATGTTTTTACGCCTTTAAAAAACCTTCAACTTCTCAATTTGAGTAGAAATAACATAGAATTTATACATGAAAATTGTTTTAATAATTGGTTATTACAACATCTAGACGTGTCGCATAATAATTTAAAAAAAATAGCTCCAGGGGCTTTGCAACTGTTACCAAATCTTGCTCGCCTATTATTGACAGATAACCCGCATTTAGGAATGACGCAATTGGATACACAGTTGTTAGTGGGAATAGGTCGTAGGCTACAACAAATTGATGCATCCAGAACAGGTTTATATCAAGTACCCGAGGCTTTCACACATTCAGTACGATTTCTGTCCCTTATAGGAAATAACATAACAGCTGTAAGATGTGGAGATCTTGACAGCTACCCTTTGCTGCAAACTTTAGATTTTACTGATAATAATATTATAACTGTAGAAGATGATTCCTTAGGCCGACTTGAAATGCTTTTATTTTTAAAAATCAACAATAATTTTCTCAATTCCGTACCGAAATCATTGCCAGATGAACTAAAATATTTATCAATAAGTAATAACTCCATTAAAAATATTTCCATACCAGATTTTAAAAATTTACCAAATTTACGTATCTTGCAATTACAACATAATCAAATTAGATTTATTCAAGATCATGTATTTGATGATTTGCTCTCATTAGAGATGCTTGACTTATCTTATAATCCAATCCAAATGCTATCTTCAAGCACTTTTGATGGACCATTATTACTTCGGGATTTAAGGCTTTGTTATTTAAATGTTTCTGTGCCTGAAGAAGTTGGTTCATTTCCAATGTCGTCGCCTGAAAGCGTTCAGATGCTTCACTTACAGGCTAGTCCGGGCTTGGCGAGGCAATTATTAGCCGATTCTGCAGCTTTAGCTGCATTTTCTCGTTTGCAATATTTAGATTTAAGAATGAATAATTTAAAGGAAATAAGAAATGATTTGTTATTTTATCTTGTGCAATTAAAGACATTAAGACTGCATGGTAACCAAATAAATTGTAGCACAGAGTTATGGTTGACTGATTGGATGAATTGGAATAAAAGTTTGTCCGATGGAGAAACATGTTATTTTTCAACTTCTGAAGACAAATCTGAAATAACAAAGTACAATTGTACATTTCAAGAAACATTTACGATAAACGAAAGTTTGCCACCTGTTAGCTTATACAGCACTGAAATGATTAACAAATTACTAAGATACTATGGATATCTCAATAACAAAACTGACAGAGCTTATTTGAGGCACGAGAATAACAAAACTGAAATAAAAAATAATAGTAGTAATGAAGATTCATCAAAAATTAAGGGGATTAAATCAAAAAGTAGCTACATAGAGTCTGATACAATGAAGGTTGAAAACAAGATTATTTCAAAAAATAATTTTTTTATTAAGTTTAATGAAAATTTAAATGAGACCTTCGTAATCAAATCTACACAGCCAGCAAAAGTCTTCAATAATAACGAATATCGAAATGATAAATTAAAAATAGATCGCAGACTTGTAGATTTCGATGTATCTATAACTACAACAAGCAAAACATCAAAAACGGCTTACTACAGTGATAATAACGATGATCAAGAAAAAAAGTTTACGGGAAAAAGATTGAATACTCCGATTTTATCTAAAGTATCAGTTCCCTATATATTCACAACAACAAAACTTCAAGCACAAAGAACCGTAAATGACGCATATACAACATATCCTAATGAAAAACTTGAGTATTCACCATACCAAGCAACACACCAAAGCTATGCCCAATATATTGGTATAGTTGCTATAACAAGCTTGAGTGTGATTTCCTTAATTCTTTGGGTTAGTTTTCGACTAAGATTTAGGAGACGACAGCTTCTAGCGGTAGAAGTAGACAACCAAATAGAGGTGTCGAATATATCTGGTGGAGTATTGTGGTGACATATAAGAGCAGCCGACCCAACGCCGTTTGAATATGATTCTCTTCTTACGTAGCACAGATGTAAGTTATTTTACATATTATTCTGAATTATTTTAGATATAAAGACAGACGATGAAGATGATATAACCATGAGTGACGGTGTAAGAACATTCATTAACCTATATCGTCCCGTGGGTGTCCTTATATCAATGACTAATGTGTCAATATATGCTTGATTAAGAATCAAAATCCAGATGTGTTGTCATCGTGGTAATTATGGTGGAATGCTTAGTTACCAGTAAAAATGATCTCTGGCTTTTGTTACTGCTCCTACAAAACTTTGCTGCTATTACTCCACTCTCTAATCAAGCCGAACTATTATAGTTAAAAAATAGTTCATCTACGAGTACTATATAAACAGAAATACAACCATCACAGATTTATTATGCTCCTAAAAATAAAAATACAATATTCACCTCACCTTGCACCTCTCCCTTGTATTTTTTGGTAGATTTTGTTATATTTATCGTATCGAAATCTACCATTAAAATTAAAATCTAAATCGCGCGTATTTTATATAGAGTTTTAATAGATTTTTGCATGTTTACTATATATTACTATATATTTGGTATAATAAAAGTGAGAATATCTAACAACCACACAAGAGAGGCGTAATCATCATCATCATTACAGCCCTTCACAAGTCCACTGCTGAACATAGGCCTCCCCCAAAGAATGCCACAAAGCACGGTCCTGAGCCACCTGCATCCATCGACTTCCTGCATGTCTTACCAGGTCGTCACTCCATCTCGTGGGGGGACGCCCTACACTTCGCCTACCGGTACGAGGCTGCCACTCGAGAACCTTTCTTCCCCATCGGTTGTCGGTTCTTCGAGCTATATGGCCGGCCCACTGCCACTTCAGCTTACTAATCCGTTGGGCTATGTCGGTTACTCTGGTTCTACTGCGGATATCCTCATTCCTAAGTTTATCACGCAGAGAAACTCCGAGCATAGACCTCTCCATAGCTCGCTGAGCGACCTTGAGCTTCCTCATACGGCCAGCAGTGAAGGACCACGTCTCAGTTCCATAAGTCATCACTGGCAACACGCACTGGTTGTACAATTTCGTTTTCAGGTTTTGAGGTATGTCTGACGAGAAGATGTGTCGTAGCTTCCCGAACGCTGCCCAGCCGAGAGAGGCGTGATTAGTTTTAAATTGGACGATCTTTAAAGTTAAGTTAAATTACAGCCTATATACGTCCCGCTGCTGGGCACAGGCTTCTTATCATCTCTGAAAGGGTTTTAGGGCATAGAAATGTCCGTCGCGCTACCCCAATGTGTGTTGGCGAACTTCAGACATGCAGGGTTCTTCTCGATACTCGTATTTTACTACACTGCCGAGCACGTGGTAAATGAGCACTTAAAATCGCAATAAACAATTTCATTGGTGCCGGCGGGGATCGAACCCGGGTTGCTTGCATACTGTGAAATTTACAGCGAGCGCTTAGCCCCTGAGCTACCACGGCTCTGGGCTAAGCGCTCGCTGTAATTTTCGGATGGACGATCTCTACTTGTAACTTTGCCGAATTAAATAAATAAAATAATACTCTAAAACCATGTTTTTTTTTTATCTCACTAATGATTACTAAAAGAGATTGTAACACAAGAAGGCATTCTCATGTAAAAATTAAGTACATTTCAAATATACATAATTAAATACTTAATTTTACTCTTCAATTAAAATAACGTGTGAGTGTTAGTAGGTTCTTGAATATTTCTTATGTTATCCATTAAAGCATACGAAATCATAGATTCAGTGGAATACAGAACTTTGTGTTCTTGACTATGACTCTATACTATAAATTTGTGTAACACACAAAATGAATGTCTATATTTCTTTCTTCAATCGTATCTACTGACATTAAAAATTAAACTTTTAATTAAAAAAACATGCGTGAGTGTCGTGGAACACGCGGTTGGAACGAAGTTCTTTTCGTAGTATATTATTATTGATATACATATTATATTATATATTAACAAATACAAATAAATGAATATCTAGCGTCCATTAATATGAAGCGTCATTTAAAATAAAATAATATTTCTTTTATGGCAAGATAAGAAAAAGTTCGCGGGAGATGAATATTATTCTATCTCGCTTCCTTATAGCCGCCAAGGCCGCCTACACTACGTCATAAGGGGTCGTGACGGAAAAATCTTACACTTTTTGTCGCTTAGTCCCCATCCGCCAAATCCGTATTGTCCGAGAAAGAACTTCGTTCCAAAAATAAAACAGACTTCGAAAAGTAAATTATAATAATTTTCACATAACTTAGTTAACAAAATTTAGTTCCTTGAAGTTGGCTTTTACCTTTTATTAAAATTTTAATTTTCTGTTCTTTTTGAGTGGACTTTAATAAATAAATATCACAAGTTCAAGGTGAACGTCATCCAAATAATGAAGTATTAAATAAAAAAAAATAGTTAAAATCGGCTTATAATTGACGAACATATCGCGTGACATAATATGTACATACAAAAAATTACATACTAACTGTTGAAATAAGAATCTCTTGCTTTTTTGAAGTCTGATAAAAAAGAAGGTGATCAATTAGGCTGACTTTTTTAAACGTGTAATATTCCAGTAATAAATAATAATTTTTCTGTTTTTTTTTTATTTTATTTTAATCGAATGTGGTTGAAATGTGATAACATACTTGAACAGTATGTTTCCACGTTCCAACCACATTCAATAAAGATCAAAATTGCTATCTAGTACTTAAAGATTTAATTTTAAATCAAAGCAATTACCAATATACATAAACCTCGAGCCACCTAAAAGCTCAAGTTTTTATTTTTGTTTCAGTTGAACGCGGTCGACTGCAAGAAGAGTAATAGTGTTATGTGATATATTTGGAAGTTCATATTTTTTTATGAAATAAGTACAAATAGACAAATTAGCTTTGCAGCTGAGGCTATAAATGTTTTGTGTATAAATTGTAAATATTTGATCATTTATTTATAAATAGTGAGTAGATAAAGGAGTGTTATTTTTATGTGAATTAGCGACATTTAAATATGTTAGTGTCTTTAGTATAAGGGAAGTAAAAAAAAGGTTGCGTAGAAAAGCATAAGGCTGCTCCTAGTTAACGTTACATTTTCTAAAATATAAATAATAATAAATGTGATTATTTAAAAAAATGCACTGAAAATTTTAAAGTTTTTTAATGGACTGAATAAAAATTGAATGACTTTCTCTTATCAACATCGTGTGTAGTTATTTAATAGAAAATGTGGCGTTAAAACGGTGTAATTTATAAGTGTATTTGTACATACTATTTAAGATGCGTCATAAATTTTAAAAAGCAGATCACGTCTTCCTTCTAAACCCTTTTAGCGTAACTGTATACATAAATCTTAATCATGTACATCGGTATATTATCCAAAAATATAAGTGCCAAAAAGTATTCTATGACAATATTAAAAGAATCTCTTCCTCAATTTGTTTGATTTCTGTATTATTACGTATTATCTTGTTTCATCTTGAGGTACTATCGTCTGAACTTATGAATATAAAAAAAGACTTCAAAATATTTTAAATAAGAAATATATTTCACTTAAGCTTTTATAGCGTAGTAATACATAAGTGATCATGTTATGATTATTTTACTTGTATAACGTATTTATTGTTTTAATATGCATAGGATTAATTGTTATAATGTAAAACTGGCTAATTGTTCAATAGATTGACAACATTAACGTGTATTCAATGTTTCACTTACGTAATTTCGTCACATTCCAGACATCACTGTGAAATTATGGTTGTAACTTGATATATTTAATAATATTGTAAAGAAAATTATGTGTAGATATATGTTTCTACGTAAAATAGTAGTTTATGATGTACAAACTGGTAGCCAAAGAAAATAAATGAATAGTATAAAAATTATTGTTTATTTAATTAATACACATATTTGTGAATGGGAATGACATAACTTGTAAAATCGTACTCCAAATTCTGAGAGGATCTGTAAGAAGGCAGATTAAATAAAGACAAATGAAATGTAACAAATCAGGAGATAGGCAGCAACGTCTTGTTAATAACATCTAAGAAAAAAAAAACTGTCGTTGTTAACCCGTCTACCAATCGTGGTTACTATGGAAAATTTGCCCCCTATGAGACAAGCAATGGGGACTATCTATGTTCAGCCGTGAACTTTTGAAAGGCTGTAAATTGAAAACAAAATGTGGTTCGAATATCACTTTACTAGTAAGTGTTTTTTTTATTATGATAACTAATCCACACCTTTAATTTTGCAATTCATATAACATATAATCGTGTATTTAATGTGCCATTTAAATTTTTTAAGACTAAGGAGATATTCCACTGATAAATTTCGGTTCAAATTCGCTTTCATATTGGTATTTCAATGAAAATACGGCATATAACATTTTTAAGGTGTCATTATTATATAAGGTATATGTACAATTGCTTCACACATACTAAGTTATTAACACATATTTAAATTAAATTTGTTCTAGTAGTAGTTAATTATTGATAGCTTTCAAACTTTTCCTAGTCATGGCGTCTAAACGTGTTCGGAAAAGTTCCTTCCCTTTATCAACCATATCAAATTAGTAATTAAAACGTAGTGATTACATAGCTACTCTTTGGTAGTAATAAACTCTACATGTGTATGTAATTACTCTAAAATAAATTCATAAATTGACATTTGAAATTTTACATATAATGAATAACTCGCTTATTATTTACATTATTACCAAATAATAACATTGTTTTTTTTTTAATTTGATTTGATAATGAATTCGGTAGCCAATGAGTATGAAATAAACGGTAGATTAAAAATAATTCAAAGAAAATCTTTGTCCCGTATTGTAAATAACTTTGTATTAATTGACGGATTAACCTCGCACAAACTGTTTGATAAGTAAATAAAGCCAACTTAAAGAAGAGTCCCGCGAAGAATAGCATTGGTCAACAAAAGGATTATTGTGAA